GGGGGGGGGGGGGGGGGGGGGGGGCGTGGTCAGAGCTGCACGCGCCGGGGAATCTGCGGTGTGCCCACCAGAGTACACAAAGCCCCCGAGAGAGCCGCCGGACATGACAAGACCCTGGGCGTACGTGAGAATCTGCGGAAGGGCGGGGATTGCGCAAACAAACCATCGCGAGGGCCTTGTCGCGCTTGAAATGGTTTTGGACGATGACGGACGTTGGTAGATAGACGAGGCCTATACCCGAACCCATGCCGAGTCCTTGCGCCAGGAATACCTGGTAATAGTGGTACGGTTGGACGAGGGACAGCAGAAATAAGCTATGCCATCGTGGTGATAAGCGTTTGATGTGTGAGGAATCAGATGGGTGGCACAAAGACGCGCGGTGGAGCTCACCAGACTATGTAGATGACGGACCCGCCGACAACAACGTGTCTGAAATATCCCTTGTCCATCCTACGCCACAACGACTCAGCTACGAGCACAGTGGAGATGCCGAGAGATGATGTACAGGTCGCCGCCTACCGCTGCGAGTGCGAGGTCGAGAAAAAGCTGCACACTCCCGATCCAGCTGATCGCGGAATTGGACGAGTTTGAGAGGAAGCCCTGCACGTAGTACGTCTGCATGACTCCGAACGCGGACATCTGCGGCGCTGTAAGCGGTGTGTGTGTGTGCGTGGCGAACGGCGAGAGACGACGTACGAATCCGACTGTGCAGAATTGGATGAGCCAGGCGCCGAAGACTGGGGTGCACGGTAATTAGCTGGGCAGCGTCGTGGGATGGAGTCGACGAAGACGACCATACCTGTCGACCAGGCACGCCAGGAACCATACCTATGCTGTACCTTTGCGCCGTCGAGCCAGGGGGAGACGGTTCCTGCGGTGCTGCCTTCCTCAGAAGAGATTTCCGGTCTGCTAGCGGTCGCGGAGAGGGAATCGCGGGGGGTCTCCATCCTGAGAGAGGGATTGGCAGATGGACGGGCTTGACGCACTCATTTGTATGGTTCTGCCCTCGCAAATGCTGCGGGCCGAATGGAAGGCGTGCTGAATTGAACGAGCGAGATTGGCAGCTTGCCCGGGCTTTTGCAGATAGGGCTTTTTTGAGCTATCTGGAAGACTTGATATGGAACATGCTTACATGCCAGAGAGAGACGGAGGCACCATGTGGGGTCTGGCAGTGGTGAAGACACCGTAGCCGCTCAAAATCCGCGAGACAAAGGATTTCTGGAGCGCTGGGGGTTCTGGATCAGGACATCAACGTCTATAAACATGATGCTATCATGCGCACGCCGGTGACTAGACATCCTCGTGCCGAATTTGAACGCAGTCGAAATACATGATTCATTTGTCAGGCATCGAAGGTGGTTAATATTGTGATGAGTGTACGTACCGCGAGTCGAGCGGGCTGCCTGTGATGATGAGGCTGTGAGCCTCGCCCGTTCGAGTTGGATATTTGGGAGGAGCGACTGCCCCTTGTTGCCCGGTTGTCCGGAATGTGTGGCTTCCACCTGTTCCGTGGATTCTCCAGACGTCCGGCTGGGGAGCGCGCGTACACTAAGACGAGACGCTCATCCCCATTGTGCGTGGCATGTGTGCCGGGTGATGTGTTTGTGCGTCGGGTGGGTGCCGCAGAGGTCGCTGGAATGGAGACGAGAGCCAGCAGTGCGTGTGCTGGGGGAGGCTGCAGGGAAGGCCCGAACAAGGTGAGATCGAGTATAGGCGAGGGCGAGGGCGAGGACTCGGAGTGTCACGATCTGATCTGGGTCGTGTTTTGCCTGTGTGCCACCAAGCCAGATCGGACGCCGGGCGCTCGCTCTCGAACGACTGTGGTCTCCATTCCGAATAATCAGCGTGTGTACATCAGCCTACACGCCGCCGATGGGTGGGTGGGCATGAGCATCTGTCAGCCAGTGCACGTCGACAATGCCAAGTACGCTGGAGAGAAAGAGTTGAACACTCTGAGTGAACACTCGACGCAGACTGGGAGCAGTGAGAGACCGGGATAGCTCACCGGAATGGGAGCCCGTACGTGTCGGGGCCTGTTGGCGTGTCGTCGCTAAGCGAGAGGCACGCGAGAAGAACACCGTCGCCCTCCCAGTGCGCCCCTCCCACAGTCGCCCTCCTGCCCTCGCCCCGCTCTGCAGGCGAACCCCACACTCGTTTGCAGTCCCACTCTCATTTTCTGGCTCTGGCTGCGACATCACCGTCATGCACCCGCCCATCCGGGTCTCTCGCAGAAGAAAACACGCCCGCGTTCTGCAAGAACGAGACCCCTCGCTCATTAATCTCCCCGTCCCCCTCCCCTCCATCCCCATTCTCACCCCCCTGCTGTCCCCACTGATCGAAGGAGAATCAGAGCCTGAGCCTGAGCCTGAACCTTCCCCGTCTCCTTCCGAACAGCCCTCGTCGACCCAGCCATCGCCAACACAAGGCGAGAAAAGTCCAGCATCAAGTCCCGTTCAGGAATCGGACACTCCGACATATGACCCTCACCCAGCCACTACTGCCGCTCAATCGCCGCCCACGCCTGCTCCTTCAGCCTCCAGCGTGGGCCAATCTGGCTCGGAAAGTTCCTCCACCCCTAACGGATCTAACAACGGAGCGTCCAGCGGGAACGTTGCCCACGCTGGATCTGGCAGCAGCACAGGCTCAGCCGATGCGAACAGTGGCTCTGGTAGCAGCGACAGCGACAGCAGCAGCAATGGGTCCAGTCCCGGAAATGAAGGTGCGAACCAGCCCTCTAGCGGTGGCGCAAGCTCGTCCGACCCGTCCAACTCTGTCGATACGTCTTCATCTCCGGCCAACGTTCTCGGCAATGTTGCGTCAACATCCTCAACTCCTGCGGCCCAGGCCACCACGGCAGGATCCCCGTCCATGTCTGAGCCTGACGTCCCCAGCGATGGTGCAGCAGACAACACCTCTACTTCAGCCTGGGACGCTCTGTCTGAACCCGTAGCAAATGTATTTGGCGGGGTTGTCGTGCCCTCCGCAGGAACTTCTGGAGGGGCTGGCACCGTGGCCAACACCAATGCTGGGTCTTCAGCCGACGTCGCATCTCCCACTGGTGCTGCATATTCTCCTTTCGAAAGCGCTGGCTCGCCTTCAGCTTCTTCTGGCACAAATGGCGGCTCTGGCAGTAACAGTCCTTCATCTTCTTCGGGCTCGAGCGGTGCGTCCTCAAGCCTCGGTTCTCACGGCGGTCTCTCGAAAGGCGCCGTTGCAGCCATCGCCACGATCCTCACCATCCTTGTGTTGCTGCTTGCAGTCCTCTTCATCCGCCGACGTGCTCTCTCTCGACGTCTGGAGAGACGACGCACGTGGTTCTTTGGCGGCAAGAAGCATGTATATGGGAATGGTGGCATTAGTAGCTCGCGTTACTTCAAAGACAATCCCGATGTAAAGTCGGGGACCGTGTCTCAACGCAGCAGCTTTGGCAATGACACTGACCAGTGGGAGACGGTCGAATGGTCCGCGTCTAGCGCAAGTGATCGGTTCGTCACTCCCAATAGCACTCTTGCAATGCCATCTGTCGATCATTCAAACGAGTCCACACCGCCCCAGATGGAGCAGGTCTGGCCAAGTAACCTGAGCGGCTCCATCGC